AATTTAGGACAATCCCCATTTAGGGTTCAGGGTTTAGGTTTGACGGTTTACGGTGTCGAGTTGGCGTTTTGGTTTAGGGCTTTGGTTCTTGTAGCGGCATGTTTTACCTCGGCAGGCCGGTCCCTTATATCTCTGTTCCCGGAGCCATCACACGACCCCCGTGCAGGGGCTTAGGGTTTAGGGGTTAAGTGCTAGGGTTTAGGGATTTGGAGGTCTTAATCTACCCATTAATTCTTGTATGGGGCCCTGCTTTGGTTAGGACCTTCCTCACGCAAGGTTGCAGGCGTCTTTAGGTGTTTAGGAGGCTGAAAAAAGATTGGTATCCCTCAATCAGATTCCTTGAATTACTTGAATCCATTCGAGTACTGGACCACGAAAATCCAAAGATGCCAGTACCCCCAACATGCACTTAACATGCTATACGCTAAGGTCTGCCGCCCGCAGACGCTGCAGAAGTCGTGTAGATCAAAGGAATTCTTCTTTGGGAACAGTCTATGATCTGAAGCTGCCAGGCATGGCAATGATGCTTGAAGCTGACGATTAAGGCATTGCATCGTCAGATGTTTTGGCTACGCATAACATCAGACTTGCCTTCTTGGTGTGAAATGCGAAGTTTAAAACAAGCAGCATGACAGCTAAGCAAGAAATAGTCCCAAAGACCGCAGGCGCACCTAGGACTAAATCCTTGTCCCAGGCGCCAGCTCGCACGGGAACCTGGGGGCTCCAGCCGCTGTTTGGAATAATATTCATCCGCAGCAATCATGCACTCCTGTACAGGGCAACCAGCTGAGATGAGGAAGTCTCAATGCCTAGGACAAAGACGGTAGGAGGCAGTAAGGTGCGATGTCTCCAGATTCTGCTCCACGTTGAACTGGTCAAGCTTTGAGCATCCCCTGAACTTCTTTGAAGCCAGCACCTCGCGAGAAACTGCAGCCAACATGCTCGCCCCATGCGAAGCTAAGCCACTTGCTCAGTCTAAATCGACTACTGCATGCAAGAGAGGGACAATGCTACCACAGGTGCCATCTGCAGTCGTCTTCTGGTGCCGCCTGAGAAGTCATGTTTTCTGAGAGAACTAACAACTTACAACCCAAAATGCTGAAACCCTAAATAACCACGTTATAGTAGTTTCCATTCTCTTTTCCATTATCCCTGTATAACCCTCTTGGATCCTGGAGGTACAAACCCTTATCCCTCAACTCCAGGACATCCAACACCTTGGCCCCTCACCCCTGCACTTTCTAGGGTTTAGGGTTTAGGGTTTAGGGTACTTGTAATAATGCAAGTTTGGAAACCATGCAGCAATATAGTAATATAGTGGCCCAGGAATTTCGTAGTTTTCCTGAAAAGGAGACCCTAATATAGACCCCAAAATACTCCATCCTTATTCTGGGGGCCCGCAGAAACGTCCCACAATTAAGAAACCCTAAACCCTATAAACCTTATATTACCCTATATAACCCTATATAATCCAATACCCCTTCATGGGTGCCCCTAAGCAACAACACCCCCAGTGCAGCTCCGCCACATGGGCTTGCTGCCGGAGTCTGCTTGAAACTCCCACTGCAGCTTTGCCAGAATGCTTGGCCACCTGGCCAAACCCTAAACCCTAAACCCTAAACCCTAAAGAATGCTTGGCCACCTGGCCAAAGGAAACCAAAGCAGAGGCCCCAATGGGAGCAAGGATTGCAAAGGTTTAGGGCTTAGGGATGTGGTGTCTTAGGGTTTGGGGATTTTAGGGTTTTAGGGTTTTGGGTATTTGGCGCTTTAAGGCTTAGTGAGAAGAAGTGCCGTAGCAGTTGCAGTAGCGGAAGCACTGACGATGATACGTAATTTCAGGATTCAATGCTGGCTCTCGATCGGACTCATTGTCATGGTACGGGAACAACTGCTCCCCTACACCAGCGTCTCGCGGCAAAGCGGCAGGAGGATGCTGAAGCAACTTTATTCTCTAGACACTTACACAACAAAACGCAAAAAAGCTGCCCCCTGATTGTTGCACTCCTCGTTTCCACCAAAATGCCTCTACCAGAAAGCAGAGGAATAGCAATCTTGCGTATAAACAGAATGCCAACCATACCAACCGCACAAAATAGAAGATCAATTCAGCAGCTGCGGCCTGACGGCCATGATACAAACAATCATGGCAAAGTAGCTTCCATTTTCTTTTCCATTATCCCCATAGAACCCCAATATAACCCTAATATTACCCCAATGGGTTACAACCCTAAACCCCCCTTTAAAGGTGTAAATCATGGCGGACTGCCTTGTTACAACTCAAAAACCATCTGTGCACGAGCACATGAAATTCCAGACCCGAGGTCTGGCAATGCCTCTGGGCGGGCTGTATACTGGCATCCACACTTGCGCCGTTCGTCGAATGGCTTGGCTACCAGGCCTTGAACAAGTCCCAGTGTGGATTCCAAAGGAACCTAGAAGTGAAACTGCCGCTTAAGCAGCCGTGAGATCTGACAACTCGGGAACTGTGCTTCGACCAGCGTGGAGCTGCCAACCTCACAATATCCAAGCCTTTCGCAACGCGCAGGATTGTACATAAACAGAGAGGCCCTAAACCCTAAGCCCTAAACCCTGAAATCTAAGAGTTGTCAGACCTCACCACCCCCCCGCTTTGGAACTATCATCTCAGAGACTTCTTCCAGCCTGTCCTCCCGAGACAAACAACCCACCCATTGGCATTGAAGGATTTAGGGTTTATGGTCTAGGGCTTAGGGTTTAGGGTTTCGGGTTTAGGGTCTGGTACTATAAAGGCCCCAATAATTTAGGAACAGGTCCTCTTATACAACACTCCGGGAAATTGCTCACAATCCCAAAGTGCCAAATTTTCAGCATTTACTGCTGCGCTTGCATGACGGCAATTCGTATGTCAACGCTAGAACCACCATCGCAGCAAACTATTTGAGCTTTTGTCTAAACTCCATAAAGGAAGTTAGATAGGGGATTGTATAGGGGTCTACTGTAAGGGTTATTAAGGGGAATACTACGAGTCTAGACTATAGCTCATTTGGGGTTTAGGGCTTGAGGTTTCAGACCACCGCCCACCACATAATGGGCCTGAAAACACGCCGCGAACGTTGTTCTTCAAGTATGAATATTATTCCTATGAACATTCTTACTTGCATTATTGTTATAATTGAAATGATTACAAGTGTTATCATTGCGACTACTATGCTTACTATTCTTACTATAACTATTACTAGTGATATTATCATCTCTATCATAACTATCATTCTTATTACTATCTATGCCATTATTACCGCTGTCCTTCAAGTAGGTCTCATACTCCAGGAGGTGGGAGGTCTGCCCTGCCAGCTGCCTTTGGAAATTCCGCGCCTCTTGTTTTAGCACACTCAGCTGTGTCTTCCGCCACTCTTGGAAATACCTCAGTTGAGGGGCTTAGGATTTAAGATTTAAGGTTGAGGGTTGAGGGTTGAGGGTTTAAGGTGGTTGCTCATGACCACCTTTCTGAAGGAGAGCAAGGTACCAATGCACCTACAAATGCCCCGCCCATCCCTGCCCTACCCTACTTCCATTGGCGCGCATGTTCACTGGCGCTGGACTTAGAGGAGGAGCAAATAAAAACCCTGGGCGCTGATGGAAACTACTATTTCTCGTAGGTGCAGTCTACTCCTCAAACATCTCACTGCCTAGAAAACTAATACTTACTTCGAGGCCCCTTCCCTGCTGGTGGTTAGTAGGGAATAAGAGATTATAATCCTCGTATAATCCTCGCATAATACATTCCCTCATTCCCTACAAACCCTACACCCTAAACTCTAAACCCTAAACCCTAAACCCTAAACCTTAAACCCTACACCCTAAACGGTATGTGTATATATATATATATACACTTTTTCCATATTTCTATAATTTCCCTTATTCCCTACTAGCCCCTAGTAAGCTGCTCTGTCAAGATTCTCATCCCAGGGAGTCTCCGCCGTCTCGTCGGACCCAAAGGTCGTCTTGCGGATGATGTCAGCAAGTACTGAGCCATCCTCTTGCTGGGGGTTATGGGGGTTCGTAAAGAATAAGGGCAAAATATATGCGCATCTATAAGTAGATGTGGTTTAGGGTTCAGGTTTAGAGTGAAGGATTTAGGGTTGGGAGGGAACAATCGGGGAATATGTTATATCAGGATTTTATAGGGAGTATATTCCTTTATTCCCTGCTGAGAAACAATAAGTCCTGCCGGTCGCTGTTTATCTGGAGCTTACTTGGCAATTGTGAATCCTGGAAATCACACTCTTCTGGGGGATGTGAAAAAGATTATCCGAAAGTGGCAGGGAATACGTGGTATTTAGTTACAGTTAAGGGGGGCAGGGACCCTTGTTGCGGGCGCCAAATGCCGTTTGGGTGTCCAGCGTACGCCGAAAACTTCCATGCCGAAAGGAATTGTTCTCTTGGCCTGCCTCTGTCCTTCCGAATTAAGCCCTGAAACAACCCTAAACCTGAATCCTAAACCCTAAAACCCGACACCCTCCAACTTACTCACTAAACAAGGCAAGACCTCCCGCCAGTCATGGTTCTTGGAATCCCATCAAAAAAAAGTCCAGCAACACGACTATGATATGACACCACAAAGATGAATGAAACAAGGCAGGATATAATATAATGCCATTAACACCTACTATAGATTTGACATTTCATACCGTTATAACCTACTAAACTTATGAGGACCCCACCCTGTAATAGTGGTATAATCGGAGGATAATAGGACCTTTATATGGTCCTTATTGTCCATTATAGTCACTATTACAGGGTGGGAGGGTCCACCTAAACTTCAACCTTTACATCGTACAACAAATACACTAACAAATGGTAGCTTCCCAAAATAAGGGGGTCTCAATACAGACCCCAAAATACTATAGCCCTTATTATGGGGACCCCTAAAAAGGTACCCCTAATTTTGAGAAATTCCCAAATATGCTCATCCTTGAAGACGTCGAAGTGCAGCTGGTAGGCCAATCCTGGCTACAGCTACCAGCAAGTCGGAAACCAAGGAGCACACGGGGAGTCAAACGGTTTAGGGCTTTAGGGTTTAGGGTGTTTTTTGCTTTTGTTTTTTAAGGTCTGGTGTTGTTTAAAGGTTTGGGATTTAGGGCTTAAGGCTTGGGGTTGAAGGTTTGGGGAACACATGGCAGGTGATCAAAATTCTTGATCCTAAAATTGCCATTCTGGAAAATCATTTCCCCTGCTGTTTCCCTCACAGCCCCACAGGAACTCTGGACAATTTGCCCACAAGACCCTGAACCCTAAACAGCGGTTTCCATTTTGTCTCCCATGCCTTCATTTCCACTACATCCCATCCCCTAACCGGTGTAAGTTGTAAAAGCCCTACATAAGCTCAAGTGTCCATGTCATTGTCCATGTCTCCTTTTTTTTCGGATGCTCCATTGGGGGGAAGCGCCGATATAACCATCAAATAACCCCTACATATAGCCCCATGCTAGCTAACTGCAGCTAGGGTCTGGATGCAGCAGCTTCGGAGGGCCGTTGGAATGGGCCGGAGAGCACACGCACCTGCCAGCTTCTCCAACTATTGACGCTTCCACTGCCGCTTCCACAACCACTCCTCCATTCTCGTCCAACCCCCCCCCCCCCCCCCCCCACGCCCTCGACGACGCCACTGCCGGGGCCACCACCACCACCGCTCCTGATAGTTCCATATTACCACTGCCATTTCATGTTGTTTGCGGTGTTGCATTGGCGCGCTTATAGGTTGGTGTGCCATTTGCAGTTTGCGGCACTTGTTTTACTGTTGACTGTTAGTTTCAACATGAGTTTTCGATTTATACGTTTTGGTTCGTCGCACCTGTACCAGCAAAGTTGCTACTATAATGATGATCACTTCTGGTTTTATCATTATCGGCCGTTTCTCCGCAGGCTTGGGGCTCTAGTCCACCTTAAGTAGATAGA